ATATTAATAATAATAATAATATTAATAATAATAATAATATTAATAATAATAATAATATTAATAATAATGAACTATACAAAATTATTCTGCCAATAACTAGCCCTACTGCCGCGCGCCACATTGGACTTAGGTGTATTATACCACGTGGATATACCTTATTAAGACTAGACTGAAGAAATTACTCACTAAGCGTGATAAATGTTTGCGTGAAGAAGCGAAATCAGTGATAGTCGTGATTGGCATCATTTGGGTTACTGCGGATTTCGATGATCTGGAACTCAGACATTTCAAAGACTTTTTTACTGCCGCCAGTCAAGAATGTAGAATGTACTGCCTGGTTATTTGTGATTGACGGCAGTTCAGCTTGTACTGAACTACCGAGTTCGCAGAATATATCGAAAATCGCAGTAGTGTTAGATTTGGTGGATTCTTTCTTGTAACCGTACTTATGGAGTCATGTTTCTTTCAGGTTATTGAATGAATTGAAAAAAGAGATGAAGAACAAATACAACATAACCAACTCGTCTGATTTTGACAGATTTGTGGAAAAAGCCAATGAGGCAAGTCAATTGATGAGGAAATTTGACTGGACATTCATTAATGGGTGTGGATTTGCATTTGCAGCCATTACTACTATTGGTAAGACAGCTCTCTATTGTATCGAAGAAAAAATCTTCCTCCCTTACCCTCCACCCCCTTCTCCAAATAAAAAAATGCATAATAAAGCCGTCTTCTTTCCATTTCAGGGTATGGACACATTACTCCACAAAAACCTCTTGGCCAGGGACTCACTATAGTGCTCTGCATTATTGGTCTGCCAATAACCATGCTTGCTCTAAAAACAGCAGGAGAAGTCCTTCTCGTTAGTTTGCGAAACCTCACAATTACTTTGGAAAAGAAGATTCTTCGGCGAAGAAAACCGGAGAACAGTATATTCAAGTGCCTATTGATGATCATCTTTTGGATTACGTTATTGATGTGTATCCTAGCAACGGTTGAAAAATACGTCAATGGCTGGACCTTCCTGGAAGGAGTTTACTGTTGGTTTGTTACATTAACGACTATCGGTTTTGGCGACTATTTACCACTTCAAAAGCTGTATCGTGTTCAAGAAAAAAACATGATATGGGTGTATGCAGTTACAGGAATATTTTCTACCCTTCCTTACGTCATGGCTCTTTGCCTGGTATCCAGTCTACTTAATTTGTTGGTCGAGTATTCGGAAGAATTTAAAATGCAATTTAACACATTTTGTTGCCATATGGAGTGTTGCTGCTGCCGCAACCACAAGAGAGAGTTAAGAACTCTAGGTTCGACGAAGAAGGAGGATAATAACGCTGAGTTGCAGTTAATGAATGGATATGAAAAATGAAAGGTTTTTTGGTCTCTTTGAAGGCTCTCAGAAGTTGCGGGCGTGGCTCTTCGAAAACGCTGATTATTTATTGATACATTGTTTAATATGGGCGATTGCGTCCCTAGCTTTTAAATCCTAGTATCCAATGATTATCTACGTCTACTTAAGAAATATATAGGCACAAAGCAATATTAAGAAAATGCAAAATACGATTAAAGAAATTGTAATCTTATTGAATTGAAGAAACACAAAACACATTGAAGAAGACGAACAAACGTCATTTGGTTAAATTCACATTTACATTATTGTTTATCTATTCCTGGATCCGAAAAACTGTAAACACGTCTATTCTGCTCAGATAAGACCAATTAATGTTAAGGAAAAAACGATCGGTCTTCGATTTTTTAAAAACTTTTTGAATCGAAAGCATGCCAGTTTACACCATTGTCAGTAATTGGTCATTACTTATGAGTAGTTTTACTAAAAATAGTCGAAGTCATTGGCCAAACTTTTTTTATTACGGAAAATGTAAAAGGTGTAGGTCTAATGTTTCTACGAAATTCATTCTTCCATTGCCTCTCTCACATCCATTTGAGACTATCAATAGTTTTGTTATTGTTATGTGCAAATAAAATACAGAATTAATCCAGATATGTTGTTTGTCAGACATTTTGACGTAACGATTTTTAATTTTCACATCATTCATCATTCGAATAGCTTCTTCTGTTTACCAGAAACCTCTTGAATAGGTATTTGGTACAAAAAAATGGATCTGCTTTTTTTTAAATATTTAATTCGCAAGAGAAAGATCAAGACGAGTACTCTGAACTGAAACTGAAATATCACACCACCAAAACTAAAGAATTTAGTTTTCCTCCATGGCTGAAAAATAGCACATAACAAAATTAATATAACCAATCAGCAAGAAGACAGCAATTCCTAGCCTCAATGTGATCATCCTGAAAACACAGACAAACCACACATATTATTAATCCATTATTGTATTAAATGCCATGTAATAAAAATACACTACGACATTCTGTTACCAGTGGTTGGTCAAGATGGAAAAGCGTCTACTAGTTAAGATTTTTTTCGTGTTTGGTTTAACCAAAGCAAGTAACTGTAATGCATATTTTCTGCCCGTATTTCTTACGTATTTATCTATCTGTTCGTAAATCATTGAAAGCTAGCTCCTAATTGACTCTGATAGCTAACATAGTTGTGTACCCTCGATGACTTTGATCAGCCCAGAGGTTGTTTCAGGGTTCTATCTGTGAGTTAGCCATGCCCTGACT